AGTGCCAATCATGGCTCGCGCTGCACAAATAGCAGACGATGCATGTAACACTACAGGACTTGTTAGTGCCAAAGGAGTAAGTATCCTCTACATGTTGGCTTGGTACTCATAAACAGATTGAGTGGTATGCTACTCATTCACGCTTGGCCTTTGCATATGTTGCATCTGGTACGCACATATACAAGACTAATTGAGACAGAACTTGTGTATGCAACGCAACTAGATTTAAGCACTGAAAGCGTTGCGGATTTGCTGAAACGCATTGTCCATACACCTGGTGCATATGAGCTTGGTATTCATGGTATGCGTAGTATGCACCAATGGACCGAATGGGGTGGTCGAGGCTGGCTAGGTACGAGTTATATTTCTCACATCAGGTATCTTGCGAAGCTGGAATCTGTGATATATTCACAACTCTATCTTGTACAAGAGAGTTCCTGATAAAATCAATAAGGATTATAATCTTTAAGATTTTTAGCAACTCAGCTATTAAAACCAAGGGGCACTTGTTTAGACCTGCATGCTTATTTTAGTGTCTGCTGACATTGAAACAGTGTTGACGTCGAACCGTGCGACTGTTTGATTGACCATCGCCTAATTTTTCGGGATTTGTCATCGTGCAATTTTGGCACGGCATGCTCCACATAGATTCTGAAAATATGTCCCCCGGTTTGGTGACCTGTGCAGAGTGGGACCCAGCGTCCTAAGAGTGTATCACGTGCTCCCAATCCGATGCTCTGGTGAGACTTGGCCTCGATACAACATAGTTTATCTCAGCTAGCGATTTTGTCGCCGCGGCTGTCACGCGCCGTCAACAGTCAGCGCGACATCTTGTGGTGCAGCAATATGATCACCCATCCATACGAGAGGATAGGTGACAATACACCATCTCATTCGGGTGGCAAATGCCCGCCCCCGATCTCTGTTTATGACTTTGACCACATCAACCCAAAGCATACTCAGGCGCAAACAAGCGCTAGCTCAGATCAGACACATTTTGCTACTTTGGAAAATGATTCTCAAGAGAAAGCTGTGGAAATGAAGGAATATGTGTCTCAAAGCAGCCCTAACGGTCGGTCTGACGACCTGAGCCATGTGACTGAATCAAGCACCAAGCAGACCTATGAATCATCGTATATGAATCGTGGTGAATGCAACCCAGCTCTTCAGAACACCGAGCACGGGAAAGGTGGTGATGACGGCAATTCAGGATGCTTTTCCTCTTTCCTTGGCTTATTCAACGGTCGGAAACGACAGGCCGCGAAAGCAGCCCAATTAAAGGAGAAACTCGAAAAGCGCCTATGGACAGATCCAGGGCCGTTTCGGTTTAAACCAGGCGAGCTCTGTTCTTTGATCGATCCGGAAGACTTCTCGAAGCTTGAGCGTATGGGTGGTGTTGATGGCTTACTGGAAGGCCTCATGACCAGCTCTGATAATGGGATATGTACTGACCCTGCTCCCAGCAGTGATTTATCTATTGCGGAAACAGGTACGATCGCACAGCGTGTACAGGTTTATGGTGCGAATTTGTTGCCTGAACGCAAGTCGAAAAGTCTTCTTATGCTGATGTGGTTAGCACTACAGGACAAGATTCTTATTTTATTGATTATCGCAGCGATTGTTTCCCTTGCATTAGGATTGTATACTGATTTCACCCCACCACAAGAAATGCAGCCCTGTGTTCATCCAGAACCAGGGAAAAGAGAATGCCCCGCACCACCGGTTGATTGGGTTGAAGGCGTAGCCATTCTGGTTGCTGTCATCGTGGTGGATTTGGTTGGATCCTTAAACGACTGGCAGAAAGAACGGCAGTTTCGAGTGTTAGATGCTAAGAAGGAATCACGTCCTATTACTGTACAGCGAGATGGTAAGAAGCATTTGGTGGATATCCACGATGTAGTGGTGGGTGATGTGGTTTCCCTGGATCCAGGTGAAATTGTTGCTTTTGACGGTGTCATTCTGCACTCGCACAATATTAAATGTGATGAATCAAGCGTCACAGGTGAATCTGATATGATCCAAAAGATTTCGTATCAAGAATTTCTGAATGAGAAGCGGCATGGGTCGACAAATCACAAAAGTGTATTTATGATTTCTGGTTCCAAGGTTCTTGAGGGTGTAGGTGATTTTGTTGTCACCGCCGTTGGTCCCTTAAGCATGAATGGCAAATTAATGATGTCACTGCGCGATGAGCCCGAAGATACACCGCTACAGACCAAGTTAAACCAGCTTGCTGAAATGATATCTAAACTTGGTTCGGCCGCTGGCATTCTCATGTTCATCGCGTTAATGATTCGCTTTTTTGTTAAATTAGGTCGTGACCCCCATGTGGATGGCAAGCAATACGGAGAATCTTTTATCGACATCCTTATCATATCTGTGACGTTGGTTGTTGTTGCGGTGCCTGAAGGTCTCCCGTTGGCTGTCACCCTTGCTCTGGCATTTGCGACACGTCGTATGTCGAATCGGAATTTGCTTGTCCGCATCTTGGGGTCTTGCGAAACTATGGCCAATGCTACCTGCATTTGTACAGACAAGACAGGCACCCTTACTCAGAACAATATGAGCGTGGTTGCTGGTTGTATTGGCTCAGATATGCCTTTCCACGACGAAGTGAAACTCGAAGCTGAGAATGCTAAAGTGAGTGAAAATGGCATTGGATTGGAATCTCTTACAAATGAACTCCCAAGTTCGATCCGCAATGTACTTGTGCAATCGATTTGCATCAACTCAACAGCGTTTATTCCTCGGAGCACGGATGAGTCTGATCATTTTGTAACATCCACCGTTAAGAAACCATGGTGGGCCAAGCTGATCTCTCGTGGGTCTCCTTCAGCCGTATTGCTCAAGGCAGCGCAAGGTGAAGTTTCTTTTGTCGGTTCCAAGACTGAGTCTGCATTATTGAATTTGGTACGTCGTTTGGACTGGGCGGATTATGAACAAGTACGCAAAGCAGCAGATGTTGTGCAAGTGTTTCCCTTTGGATCCAAGCGTAAGGGTATGGGTGTCGCGGTCAAGACAGACACAGGCGTACGTTTATACGTCAAAGGAGCCAGTGAAATTTTGTTGGACTCGTCAACCAGGCTAGTATCTGTGTCCTTGAGCAAGGCGTCAGCTTCTCAAAGTATCGAGGTTACATCTATGAATGAAAAGTGCCGGCAACACTTGAATGACACGATCACGAATTATGCTTCTCAATCGCTTCGTACCCTTGGGCTGTGTTACCGCGATTTCGAAGTTTGGCCTCCTCCTGGCATCCAGACGAATGACTTGGGCGAAACTGCGTACGAAGATGTTGCCAAGGATTTGACTTTCTTGGGTTTGGCAGCCATCGAAGATCCCCTGCGCCGCGGTGTGACCGAAGCTGTGCGAGCCTGTGGAAAAGCGGGTGTCAACGTCAAAATGTGCACCGGCGACAATATCCTGACAGCCTCTTCGATTGGGAAGCAGAGCGGTATCTACCGACCTGGTGGTGTGGCTATCGAGGGACCTGTCTTTCGACAATTGTCGCATGCGGATTTGGTGGAACTTGCGCCGCATCTACATATTTTGGCTCGTTCGAGTCCAGAGGACAAAAAGACACTGACCAACACCCTCAAAGATCTAGGTGAGATTGTGGCCGTTACAGGTGATGGTACGAACGATGGACCTGCTCTCAAATCGGCCAATGTCGGTTTTTCCATGGGTATCGCGGGATCAGAAGTCGCCAAAGAAGCAAGTGATATTGTCCTGTTAGATGACAACTTTTCGAGTATTGTGAATGCCATCATGTGGGGACGTTGCGTTAATGATGCTGTGCGCAAATTTCTTCAGTTCCAAATCACGGTGAACATTGTAGCCGTTGTGATCACGTTTGTGTCATCTGTTTCTGATCGTGAGCAAAACTCTGTGCTCACGCCTGTTCAACTTCTATGGCTCAATCTAATCATGGATACACTTGCCGCTTTGGCATTAGCCACGGATCCGGCCGACCCCAAGTCCTTGGAGCGCAAACCAGACCGTTCGACAGCACCTCTTATCACGCCAGAGATGTGGAAGCTAATTACTGTGCAGTCCATTTACCAGATTATTTTGATTCTTGTACTCAAATACCGTGGTATGGATATTTTGAATTCACACAGCGAGAACATCGCCATCGATCTTGTTCACAACGTGGAGCTGAACACATTGATTTTTAACGTGTTCGTGTGGTGTCAGTTGTTCAATCAGGTAAATGCCCGACGTCTGGATCGGCATTTAAACATTTTCTACAATATCCACAAGAACATCTGGTTCCTCGCAATCCTGCTTTTTGAAATTGGATGCCAGATTCTGATTATTTTTGTTGGCGGTGCCACATTTAGTGTTAGGCGCATTGGTGGACGTGACTGGGGAATTTCCATTGTGGCTGGTTTGGTCACATGGCCTCTTGGCATGGTGACTCGTCTCATTCCTACAAAACCTATCGAGGACCTTATGATCCGCCTCAAGCTGATGAAGGATTCGAACGAATTACCGACTAAAATGGCGAAGACGTCGACGGAATCACTGGCTGCTGAATGGAATGAACCAGCCATTGGACAAATTGCTAAACAAATTGGAACTTTCTCTCGCATACGTGGCGGTCGTCTACGTGCCAGCAATCTGGTGTTGAAGAGTGATGCCAAATTTATGCGCGAAAATGATGTGCATCCTCAGCAAATCATGGCCATGGTTCCAGCCCTTGTAGGTACTAGTGTGGGCGGAATGTGGAAAATGTCTAAACAAAGCGCAAATTCTTATGACGAAGCACAAGAAAAAGTCCCCGCAAGCGTCCTCTTTCAACAAGGCAAGATTGTGTTCCATCCCGACACACCTTCGGATCATCCTTTCTTGCTGCGGTTGCTGTCCTAACTCTATTTATTATTCTTGTACATACATTTCGATTCAAATAAGCCAATACCCTTACAAGTTCGACTTTCACAGTGCAATAGGGGCATCCTTGCTGTCAATCGTGTCGAAGGGCGCCAAAAAAAACTAAGTAGTCCAACCCGGAATCGAACCGGGGTCTTATCCGGACAATCCAATGTGAAGGATACGTCATAACCGCTAAACTATTGGACTCCTTGAAGGCTCGAGCTTGGGTCATGGGATATAAGTCATGATGACTCATGTCCAAAACTTGAAATACAAAAAGTAGTCCAACCCGGAATCGAACCGGGGTCTTATCCGGACAATCCAATGTGAAGGATACGTCATAACCGCTAAACTATTGGACTTACGCAAGGCCTGTAGTTAGAGGTCTGCTAAGAGTGTGTGGGCTTGTATGTTACCATGACTTCACGGCGTCTGTTGCTACTTTTAGACTGGGACGGTACGATCACACAATATGATACCTTGAATTTAGTCGCACCAGCACTCAATGAAATAAAGAGCAAGTCACCTGGCTTTTCTGTTTATCAAGATGAGTACATGCGTGACTATACAGAATTCAAGACTAAGTTTGGCCAAATCACCAACAAGGAACAAATGTACGACTATCTACAATCCATTCGAAAGGTAGAAGAGCGTTCATTGAAACGTATCCATCGTTTATTTGAAGGAACAAATGGTGCGCAGAGACGCAGTCGCGTTGGTAAGATTTGTTACCGCAAAGGATGGGCGGCTATGCAGTCTTGGATGGCACAAAGAGTTGCCTGTGACACGTTAGCGGCCTACATCGTGAGCGTAAACTGGTCGCGAACGTTTATATCGGATGCTCTGAAAGCATGCGCCGAAGTAAATGGCGTGGAACAAGTGATATCCTACGTTTATGCGAACGAGCTAGCAACCAAACCAGGCTCGGATGAGTGCACGGGCCTTATTCAGGGACCGGGACAACGTGAGTGCATTCTCACTGGACTTGACAAAGAAAAAATGTGCGAGGCGATTGCGTCAAAAAGTGCATACGATACGATTGTGTACGTCGGTGATTCGACGACCGACATACCTTGCCTGTTGTGGGCCGACATGGGCATTTTGATCGGATCTGGTGATCAAGTGCGAGGTATGCTGCACCAAGCGGGCATGGATTCCGTTCTGCACACGATTGACTCGTGGAAGCAGCTGGACGTAATGCAGCAGCGGACATCTATTGTATGTGCCTCTGATTGGTACGCGGTATGTGACCTATTGCAGCATCAGTAAATAGGTACCATGAGCTCGTCCAACGACGCGAAGAATTCCGAAATGCCATTTTTGTTCGCAAAGTCTGGATGAAGCATTTGAATAGAGAAAGCGGTAGCAGCCTCTGTCACTGGATCAGGTGTTGATGCTGGGGCCGGCGCAAGTTGGAATAGATGGTTAGAGCTTTCAGCGTCCATGCCAATAGTTGACAACGCAGCGGTGGGCGCCGTGGCTGCTCCGGCTGTGGCTGTATTACCAGACATGCTCTTGTCTGTATCACGGTTCTGGCGTTCATGAGCTTCGGCCAAAAGCATTTCGATGAGCTTGAGAGCAATTTTTTGGGGAACAGGCATGGACGTGCGCAAGTTGTTAGAGCCATACAAATAGTTCATAATCAGAGCAATATCGTCGCGAAGTTGATGAGCGACTTGTGATGAGCCCTGAGCTTTGTGGCTCAGCTCAAGGAGGTGAATAGAAAGTACGATGGCGGCCTGGAACAGGTGGTGGCGGAACGCAGCGTGTTTCTGGACGGCGGGATGGACATTATCAATTTGTTGGCGACAAGATAGAATGGTACGTGCTGCGTCTACAGCAACGCGGGTCGAATAAGCGTACTTTTCGTCATGATGGCCGCGGCACATATCGTCACGATGCAAAACAAGAAGACGCTGGTTCACGGCCTCAAACACAATTAGGCGGTGCATGGCCAAGTATGGACGCTGTGCCTGTTCCTGACGCACCTCGGGCAGCTGCTCGAGCGTGGGATCCGGACGTAGGAATATCGGGAGCGACGACAGTAAGGCGCGGAATTTGGTATCAAAGTCGAGGACATGCGCGTAAGTGAGCATGCGGCTGTGGACAAGAACACTCCATTGGCGGCCCAGGTCAGCGATTTGGTACACAAAAGGCATCAGGCTGTTGATCGTGGGGCGGCCGCTATCCTTGATGGATGACAGCACATGCGTTTCGCCATCGGGCAAATCGTCCTCGTCCACGTTTAGCGGTGCCTTTGTCGTGACGAAGCGGGGATCCATTTGAATGGCGCGGTGCACGACAGTGCCGAGCGCCATGTCTTTGCACATGATCTTGAACCACAGCCGACGCGCTGCTTCACGCACGAGATGGGAGCGATCCGGCAGACTGGTCGACGTACCCGACGGCCTGACCCAGGTACCTGGACGGACAGTAGAGCATACGGGTGAAACACGCACCAGTTTGGATGACAGCGAGTCACGCCATGCCTGCTCGTCATCAGTTGCACAGCCGAGCGTATGGTAGCCCTGTTGCTCGGCAAGTCGAATTAATGTGGCCATAGCAACAAGAGCGATAGGCAAGCGTCCACGGATAGCGTGGTGATCAACGTAGAGGAGCAGGGCAGCTAAGTGGTTCCAATTGGTCCGGGTGACAAAATCGTCAATGGCCAGCACGGATTGAGCGGCATCGACCCAAGAGTCCACGTAGGTTTCGATTTGGTCCGGTGACGTGCAGAGACCCTGCTCGATAAAGAAGCGTGGCTCGGTGAATTGAGCCGCGACACCCAAAAGCACAAGAAGCAGTGCCACGAAAGAGAGGTCCAGCTGTTCGGGAATGGACGTGTGCATGCGGTTCCAGCCGGCCAGCTGCGTACGTAGAGCCGTAAGCTGCGTTTTGATTAAGCGCCAGCTGAGGCCGTAGGATATGTGCAAATCGACCGTTTGAAGGATCTTGATCAGGTAGTCGATTTGCTGGGTATCGGGCAGCAATTCGAGAGCGGCGCGAATACGCACTGTAGAGTTGTTCATTGCGAAAGTTGCATTGTCGAATAGCGCATTCACAATTGATTGACGCGGCATAGCATCCGCGGAGCCCGTTGACGCAACTGTTGATGGGCGGCCCATAGTTTGGTCACCCCCGGCCAGCGAGCTCTGTTGGCTATGACGAGCAAACATGGCAAGCGCATCCGCCGCTATGTTTTGCTCCGCCTGCATCTGTGTCATCTGCGCCGTATCGCTCGAGTGCGTTGGGCGATGGTGCTGCTCCATCTTAGAGCGCCAGAAGGCAAGTTCAGCAGCGACAGCGGCATCCTGTGACAGGCTTGTGGCAGCAGATCGGTCAGCGTTCACATCTCCCAGAGAGAGGCCAGTGCCAGCAAGCAGGATAGGATCAATCTGCGTTTGGCCTGCCGAGGTCGTTGGCAGGTCGTGCGATGTGGGTTGTGTTGCGGTATTGGTGGCAAGACGTTGCTCTAAGTGGCTGATTCGCTCAATGACAGCGCGGGTATCGCTATCGAGGGCCAGCTCTGTGCCTTGGGAGCTGCCCCAATCGCCAGTGCCAAGGCTGATAGGGGCATGTGATGCATCGGGCTTGGAATACGACGACAGGGCCGATGTAGCGGCGCTGTGCACGTCGGGCGCGAGGGCCATGTCCGACGACCAGACGCAGCGCTCAGCAGGGATGCGGTGCTTTTGGCACTGACCGCAGTACGGGTGTTGGCGATCGCACTTGACCTTACGTTGCTTGCAAGGAAAGCACGTGTTGATCTTGCGGCGCTTAGTAGAAGGTGGCTTAGCCTGAGGTTCAGGAGGCGCGATGCGATCACGCGTTGCGCTGGGGAGTACATTTGACGAAAGGGCTTCTACAGCGTGGTAGTGCTGCGTAGCTGCATGATCGCTCATGCTGAATGTCTGCTCGGCAGGCACAGGCAACGCGTGCGAAGACAAGGACTCGGCGCCGGTGCGATCCATGGGCGCAGAGTAACGAGATGCAGTGACCTATTCGGCAGGTCTAGCGAAGGAACACGAGGAACACCCCTTAACACAGCAGGGAGAGGATCACGACACGAGCAAGGCGTGTCGAAGTGGAGGCAGGTCGGCCGATCAACACACGCGTGAGGAGCACGACGCGTCACGGTAGTAGTCGTTGTGGTAGCGGCCGAAACAGCGCGGACGGCCGAATCTAGACTAGCGGCCGAGAGGGTGCGGGTAGGCAAAAAAAAGCGACGTGGCGGAAACAGGCACCCCGTTCCCTCCGTTGACTTATATCCCAGATTGACTATGGCATGTGGAGATGCGGTCCACGGAGATCAGCGGCCTAGCCAGCGGCCCAGCCAGCTGCTCCCGCCGCTGGGGGCGGGGGCCGGCTCGGTATCGACATAGACATCGTCCTCCTCGTCCATATCTTCCGTCTCATTTTCTGCATCCTCAAAGGCTTCCACGTCTGAGTCGTGCTCCTGCTCAGGAGAGCGAACTTGTGCGAGGGCTTCCGACAGATTGGCCTCGTCCAAGGACACGTGGCGATGTGCGTAGTAGTACAACGTCTGCCCACCCTTGGTCGACTGCATCGCCGACGATACCACGACACCCTGTCCGCATAAGCGTGATTCTGTGAGCTCACGCGTCTCTTGGATGTGCCGTGTCTGGCGCGAGAGCACATCATCGGGGCCAAGGAGCTGAGGGGCAAAGTGCTGATCCTCATCTTGGGCGCCTTGTGCGAATTCGAGCGACTGCATAGCCTGGCGCACGTACAGGTCGGCACGCTGAAGCAGGACAAGTGATTCGCCACACTGGTTATACTGTGCAAACGCACTGGCGACCTGGCGTAGCAGCTCAGAGCAGTAGTAAAAGCGCTTGGACTCCAACAAACTCGACACATCTGGCTCACCTTCGACCAAGTCCAGGCCGCCCATAGCTAGTAGACAGCCATCGATACTGTCTAGCAGTTTGGCAATACCTGGCACGATACGCAGACGGCGGCGATCGGACTGCAGGGCGCAGAGATCTTGCACACGCTTCAAGTGCCTCTGTCGCTGCGCCTGCGAACGGGCACGTGTGCCGCTGCGTGCATACTGACGCGCAGCACGCTTACTCTTTCCACTTGCCATCGCGGGAAGCGTCCGACGATGAGTCCGCTGCTGCGTCAGCGTCTCCGCTCGCGCCTCGCGCATGGCCGCGCGTGACTGTACGTCCGACCACAGACGCACA